GAAACGAACGCAAACATGCAAACTCCACCCAGACACCCCCCCCCCCCCAGGTCTCGAACCACCCCCGATGCTAAAATATTTGCTGCCATTCAGGAGCTGTGCTGTTTATGGGTCACCAAATATCCCGATTGAAGAATACTTACTCTGGGGTGTATCGTCCAGGAGATTGACTCTCAAAAAAAATCTTGAAATAACTAATAATAAAAAAAACAGAACATTTTTTAAATTTTGGGGGACAAAGTTCCACTTTCGTAGTCTGACTTTATGACAAACGAACAATTATTCTACACACAATCTACTTTTCTAAGCGCTAGGAGAGGCAGGGAAACACAGCTGATCAAGGCACAGAGAGAAGGAACATCACCACCATCGCCCTCCTCTTCCTCAGATCTTGTGCCAGGACCTTGTTCTGATCTTGGACACCCACACACACTCACACACCCTGGACAGGACACCAGTCTGTCACAGGACACACACACACTCTCACACACCCTGGACAGGACACCAGTCTGTCACAGGACACACACACTCTCACACCCTGGACAGGACACCATCCTGTCACAGAACACACACACTCACACACCCTGAACAGGACACCAGTCTATCACAGGACACACACACCCTCACACCCTGGACAGGACACCAGTCCATCACAAGTCACAAACACACACACACACCCTGGACAGGACACCAGTCCTTCACAGGACACACACACACACACACACCCTGGACAGGACACCAGTCCATCACAGGACACACACACACTCCCTCACACACCCTGGACAGGACACCAGTCCATCAGAGGACACACACACACTCACACACCCTGAACAGGACACCAGTCTATCACAGGACACACACACAGGCTCACACCCTGGACAGGACACCAGTCCATCACAGGACACACACAGAAACACACACTCGAACACCCTGGACAGAACACCAATCCATCACAGGACACACACACTCACTCACACACCCTGGACAGGACAGCAGTCCATCACAGGACACACACACGGTCAGTTTCCCCAGAGGCCAACTTAACCTCCCGGTACGTTTTGTTTTCGGACCAAACAGGGAAGGAAGGAAACCCCAATGTGCAGAAGAGGGAGAACATGCAAACTCCACCCAGACAAGACCCCAGGTCCGGGAATTGAACCCGAGCGCGGGGTGGCAGCAGAGCAGACTAAACCCAATGAAACCCGTGTCCGGGCGTGACTTCCAGGCTCCCTCCAAGCGCGATCAGAACAAGGTCCGGCAGGAATTCTTGGAAAAGGCCAAGCTGCTAATTAGCTAATAGCCAAGCCCGGCTAGCAGACAGCCCGGCGGTTTACGCCAACTTACCAATATGACAACACCACCCCCACCAGAATGCCGACGAGGACACCCAGAAAGTGCCGCGAGACGCCCATGCTTCCTAAACAGAGGAAGAAGACCTGCGTCAGGAGGAACGTCAAAGAGCTCTCGATGTCGGCGACGTCGGAAGGGGACGATTTCACGCCGACGAGAATCCCAGCGGTTTCTGCCTCAGATCTGCCGGGGGGCAGGATGGGAAGAGTTTGGACAACGGCGGGTTTTGCGACAAGGCGAGGCACAGACCCTAAGACAAAAAAAAATATTTTTGGGGATGAAGGGAATCCTGGGAGGTTGGTTGATGACCAGCCAAGCTACC